ATTTAAGTAGTCCGCCTGTACATCATACAGGTTCTACACTAGATGCCGTACCTGTAACCCAACTATGGGTGTTACTCATTTAACCCCTCTGTAATGTAACTAAACCTGTATCACCAAGATATCTCCAGTACATCTGTTAGTCAAGAAGTCTCAGATACTTTATCCATTTCCTTAGGACTAATTTATCCTTGAGGGATCGACACTAGAGCAGTCCAAACCCACAATCCGGATTTACCTAGATTCAGTAACTTACGCCGAGTTCAAAGACAAGTACTTGTGAGCCGAGGCCACTACAGTTACCTACTACCCCCTAGTAGAGTGCTTTGCCAAACACTTCAGTCCCATTTAGTTTCGCCAGTTCTCTCATAACAATCCTTTACATAGTACCATCAAAGATCTGTGCTACCTCTCTACTCAGGTCTTGCCAAGCATATTCTATCGTCCTTCTCGGTTCTCTGGGTTTATAACAATCTGGAAGCTTATTTGTATAACTTGTATATCATACAAATACTCTATAATCTCCCAATCCTGTTGGTACCACCAAGGTTACAGAGATCTCATTCCAACCATTAATCAGATGGCAGTAATATCATACAGGTAGAATTTTTCAAATTTCATAGCTAGTAGATTTCGAACCTCTACCTAGCCAATATATCGCTTGGGGTGCGATAACTTAACCATTTCACTAAGTCGCATACCCTTTCCAAAATAGCGTCTGATTTATGAGAAATGGAAATAGAGAATAGAAAATTAAAAAAAATTAAAAGAATCAAAAAAAATAAAATAAAATAGAATGCATAACCTAATTCTTCTGAGAATAAAAATTAATAAGTATTTAAGATTATCAGACTAGATTTTTATTTTTTAAAAATTATAAAAAGAATTAAAGTTAATAAACTATTTCAAAGATCAAGTCAATAATAGTATTAAAAAAAGTTCTATTAGCTTAATCTAAACTTGTCTCAATAAAAGTTTTTAAAATTGTTATTTTTATTGTCAGTATTTTTTTAAATTTAATTCTACTTAAATAACAAACAAAAGTTATTTACATTATGCAATTCTAACCTTTATCTGGTTTTACTAATCCTGATATAAAATTTATAATAATTATTGGAGTGGGTTTTAGCACTCCTTAGAAAAAATTAGTAGCAATAAGTATATTGCAAAATACACCTATTGTTAATATAAATTATCTGGTAGACCAGAAAAGCTTTATAATCATGTTCTTAAATAGTAAATAGTCTATTACTGAAAAGGCTATCTATATTAAAAATATTAATAGTTTTGTTTCTAGTACTTATAAAAAAGTTAAAGTTAGCTCTATATCTGATAAAAAAATATATATTATTTTAAAAAATTACAAAAAATTATGATAGTATATATAAATATTTTAACTTAACTAATAAAAACATTATAGTATAACTGATACTTCTGATAACTCAGTATCTTTTGTATTAAAGTATTAAAAAAGTTTAATGAATTGATATATAAAGCTAATATCATCGGATTAACAAAAAAAATTAGATAAAAAGTTACTTGATACTATAATTTATGGCAATCTTTTTTTAAAGTTGTTAAAAACATCTATTTTCTTAATTTTCTTAATAAATTAGCCTCTAAATATGATCTACTATCTGATAAAGTATTAAAAACTAAAGTTCTTAATAGTTTTTTCTCAACTTACTTGGTCAAAAAACTTGAATTTACAACTTTAACAACTCTTTATAATGATTATCTAGTCAACAAATTTAAAAAAACTGAACTAAAGAAAAATGCTATAAAAGATGTTAAAATAAATAATAAACTTGGTTCTATGCAAATAGGTGTATTGTTAAAAAATACTAAGAGTGTAAAACTGAGATACAGCTTATTTTGAACTGGTTTTTGTAGAGATCAAGCTTCTTTTCTGTCAGACTCCTCTATTATATTTGATATTCAAACCAAAAGATATTTTAAAAACATAGAATAACTAGATCAATACTAGAAATATTACAAACTTTAAATATACCTATATAACTATAAAATCTACAAGAAATAACTACAAAAAAGCTTCATTGGCCTACTACTTTTTTCAAGAAAATTTTGTTAAAAAGTAGGCATTTCAGCTTATCTTCTCTTAGTACTTGGCACAATCAAGCAAAAAATTGATCTCAAATCCTTAATAGTTAATCATAATTCAAATTAGTTATATATATAAATAACTAATAACTAATAATATGTAGTAAATTTTGCATAATAAAATGTAATATATATAAATATATTGATACATAATGATAAATATATTGATATTGAATCATAAATTCTGAAATATTTAAAAATTTATTTATTTTACGAAACCTTTTTAATTTTTGTTTTAAAAATCATCTGACTTTTCAAAAAGTTAAATGATTTTTAAAGTAAAATTGAAAAGGTTCCGAAGAATAAGAAATTTTTAAATATTCTAAAACTTAAAAAATAGCCGTAAAGTATTAGCAATTTATAATTATTTGTGAGGACCAAAAAATTGATTTTTATTTCTGAATATTATGGAATAGACCCAACCAAATTATAGATAATATCTATCATATGTGTTTATAATATTAATCATCACATAAATTTGTTGCTGTGATAATGGCCAGATTAAGGTTTAATGTTAACTTTTATTTCTTGACTATTTGTTTTTGGCATGTTTTAATTATATAATTATTTATCTTTTTAAATTGGGTTTTTTAGTTATCAATCCTTAGATGAAACTGATTACTCTGGTTGAGTGAACTTGCTGCACATTAGATTGGGAATCATTAATAAGATTTAAAAACAATGAACCTTTAAGTTCTTTATTTTCAGATTCAAAAATTAGATAAATATTAGGAAAAGCAAGTATTAATGTTTCTTGTGAAATATTTTTTTATAAAGATAATGATGGATAGGTTATTTAGGTAGAACTGTATTCAAATATCTATAAATAAAAGATTGACTTGAAGATAGTCTAACTTTTGTTTGCTCTATTTGCTCAAGCTTTTTAAAAATTGTGTCAATAAACTGCTTTAAAAACAGACTAATTTTATATTGGCATTGCTTAATTTGAAGCAGTTGTGCAGAAGAGATAGATTTAGACAAGTCATTATATATTCAAAGCATATTTAATGATTGGTTGTCAGATGAATTCAGCAAACTGCAAGAAATTAACAAAATCTTTGTGACATCACGTTGTCAAGCTTGAAGTTTAATTTGCATATAATGTGAATTACTCTTGTGATAAGATCTATAGAAATGGTGTGTACCAGTAAATAAGTAAAGTGTGTTTTTGTTATTATCCAAATCATTATTATCCTTAATAATATTAAAAAGTTCATTAATCATAATATCTGATACTCGACTTAATAAGTCATTATCGATATTAAAATTACTGCTTTCATCAAATACTGTATTGAGAATTCTTTTTTCGAAATACTTTGAAGTAGTAAAAGTAATTGCAACTCAGTTAAGATTAAATCTTCATTGCCCACCAAATGTATGAAGTCTTATAGGATCTGGTACTTTTTGCTTCATATAATAAGATATAATTCTGTGTAATTTTTTGCTATTATCAATTTTTCTATGCAAAA